AATTATTATTATTATTTTAAGATTAACTATTAATCAATAAATGGTGCCAGGAAAAAGGAATGTATTTAAAACAAATCCAACAATCAAGAGGAAGCCTTTGTGGGTAGATAAAGTTGTATGTATATGGGGAGATTACTCGCTGACTATATATGTATATAGATACACACATATGCAGTATTTGTATATGGGGAGATTTTTTTTTTCAAATTTTATTGGGGTTGCTCATTTTGTTTGTTGAGAAACTATTATTATTTCATTTTATTGGACCGTCCAGAATTGCGGAATTGTAAATACCGGAACTACAGAAGGGTTCCAATGGAGTATGATTTGACAGCGATCTTGTGGGCCCATCGGTGGTGTATACAGTCTGACGTGGCATCACCAAGTACAACGGGATGGAAAGCCCATGGGCCCAGAATTGTGGGCCAACGGCAATCATGTCCATTTTCCTTTTAGTGTGTTTTTTAATAAACAACTCCAGAATAAACTCCAACATTTTCAGGTGATTTATCAACGAATTGGTTAAACTTTTTCACGAAACATGGAATAGTTCCGATTTGGGGAAGAAAAATGTGGGAACTTGGAAAGTAAGATGGAGAGAAATTGAGATCTCTCTTGTGACATATAATCCACCATTTTAGACTCTTGAACGCATGCGTCCTCACTAAGCCAAATCTCTCTTCCTCTTCACACCTCTCTCTCTCTCTCTCTCTCTCCCAAAACCCTAGATCTCTCTCTCTCTCCCTTTTCTGAAGCTTCCCTTAGTTTGCGCATCACTCGAACCGGATTAATTCGGTCCGGGAGATACGCATTTGCCAGATCCGTAGTGCAACTTTCTCACTTGCCACAAATACCCTAAGCATTTCTGGGGATCGTTGTTTCTCTCGTACTTGGTTAGTTCCTGATTCCGAAATTCACCTATTCCCTTTTGGGTTCTGTCTGAATTGTGTAGAATTTTCAGCTAAATTTGAGGGTTTTAAGTATTTGGTGAAGGATGTTTAGCGATCTCTTTGAATTCTAGCTGATACATTGTGAAATTTAGTTTTGGCTTCTGTGTTAGAGCTTCCTCAGTAGGTGAAACTGTCATTAATGCAGGTTGTTGTTCTATTTATTATCAGTAAGTTCGTTCACTTGAGCATTGCAATGAAAAACAGAAAACACTCTCTTGCTCTGATTCTTCCTCTTTTTTTCATCACCTTTTCTCTCATTTTCTCGGTTGCCAAACATCTTTTGGCCGCAGATCTGCTTGACGTTGATCGTCGGAAGCTATGAATTGTGTTTGGCAGTGAAAAAAAAGGCTTTGGCTTAGCGTGATACCCACGTTTTCACGGATGGCAATGCCGCCGGGAAGTGTGATTCAATCTGAGAAAACACAATTTCGGGTCGCGCCGGCTTCAGCAGCCGCAGCCCCTCCTCCGGCTCCAGGCGGAGGGCATTGGATACCCGACGAGCGTGATGAGTTTATCTTGTGGTTGTGGTCAGAATCCCCAGCCGCTAATGCCATCATCGACTTGCTCTGTCAGCATCTGCATGCCGTCGAGGATCCAGGGGAGTACGATACCGTTCTCGCGGGTATTAGCCAGAGGCGATACAACTGGACACCGGTTCTTCATATGCAGCAGTATTTCCCCGTAGCAGATGTGGTTTACTCGCTGCAGCAGATAGCCTGGATGCGGCAGACATTGCCGCCTCTGAGGCATTCTGTCTTAGATCAAGGGAAATTTCGGGGAAGGGAGTTTAGGAGATTGGGGCCTGTGTTTTACGAGCTGCCAGGCGGTCAGAGAGGATCTGAGGCGATGGTGAAAGATGGGCAGAATTTGAATTCGGATTTCCATAGTGTTGACCGGTTTGAGAAACGGGAGGAAGCTAGAGTAGGAGGTAGATGGAACAGAGGGAAGGACATGGATGATAATGCATTTGCTGTTTTGGAGGAGAAGAGAGGTAATCTTTTGTTGTTTCCGTGAGTTGAGGTGTTTACTTGTCGGAAACGTAACCAATCTCAGTTAGAGAAACACCATTGTCAATTGCTTCAGTCGGACAGTGCTGTTAAATCTTTTAATTCATGGGTTTTTGTTGCAAAGACTCTGAAACAAAACCAGGTTTCTTTGTTTATAAACTTGTTTACTTAGGATTAGATGGCCTGGCACTACTAGTTTTATACCATATATTACGTTGGTGTTGCAGAAATGTAAGTTGTTTTCATGCCTGGTCCAGGGACAGATGATAGTGAGAATCTCGAGGCCAATAGTGGAAACTCAAAAGCTTCATGGAATTCTGAAGAATCTGAGATATTCATGGAAACTCAAGCAGGGATAGTCAACCATAACTCGGGTTCAAAAGGTTTTAAAACAAACCGATTCCTTGATTGTCAATTCTCTGGAAGTTACTTCATGAATCCGGCATTCAAAATCGTATATTTTTCTGTTTTGCATGCTTGTTAATTTTTCTGGCGGATAACAGTGTCTCTTCTGAACAAAAGCAGAAGGAGAAAGAGAGTGAGAGTCCTACAAGCACAGCGAAGACGTTTGTTGTAACAGAGATGTACGGGAAAACGGTATACTTGTTCTTCATGTTTATTCCTGCACGCATAGCCTCAGAATTATATTGTTGTTTCTATAAGATGTTTAGTTTCTTACTTGTGTAGGTTAATGTAGTTGAAGGATTACAACTATATGACGAACTGTTTGATGAGAAGGAAGTTTCAGAACTTGTTTCTCTGGTGAACGGTATGAGAGTTTCCGGCAGAAGAGGTCAACTTCAGGGTAAGCTCTGTCACACATTCCCAAAACCCCACGAAAGATAAATCTTTTGTCTTCTCCGTAATAGACTGATATTTATCATTACAACACAGGATTTGCCATAAGCTGATCTATTATGAACTCTGGTTTGTCTTCTCTTGAATGTTTCCACGTTAATGAGAAACAGGTCAGGCATATGGCGCATAAACGGCCGATGAGAGGACATGGCCGGGAGATGATTCAACTCGGTCTCCCTATTGCAGATTCACCAGTGGATGATGAGGCTTCAGCTGTCGGTTCGAAAGGCAAGTCCATTACTAATTCTTGATTATGATTTCTCCTGTTTAGCATGTTTCCTCGCCCTATTATTTATATCTGATGAATTTGACAGATCGAAAGGTTGAGCCGATTCCAATGTTTCTGCATGGTGGTTATTGATCGTTTGGTGGCCATGCAGATTGCACCAGTGAAACCAGACGCCTGCATCATTGATTTTTACAAAGAGGTTTAGTGATATTAAGTTCTTTAAGTCTTCTAAATCACTTTTTTGAGGCAAGAACTCGTTATAACTCATTCAAACTATCTCGCTATCTGTGAAAATCTATAGGGCGATCACTCACAGCCTTATATGTTCCTTCCCTGGTTTGGGCGACCTGTCTGCATCATGTCACTGTCTGAATGTGATGTGACATTCGGGAGGGTTATCGTCTCTGTCTCTGATCATCCCGGTGGGGCTCTCTGAAACTCTCTCTTACACCCGGGTGGGTACATATTTCAGATCATTCGTTTCTTTAAGTTGAGATCTTTTCATGTCTTTTCCTTACCCTAATCTAATAAGTCTTTCTCCGGGAATTGAAACAGATCGGCTCTTGTAGTGCAAGGCAAATCTGCAGATCTTGCAAAACATGCAATTCATTCAACCAGAAATCATTGGATACTCGTTGCATTCATCAAATCTCAACCCACAAAGTCTGGATCGAACTGGGTCCCGCTCCCATCGAGTAGAGTGTTAAACCACCACCGTCACCCATCTGGTCCATCCAAACACTATACAAGCATCCCAAGCACTGGAGTCTTGCCCACACCATCTCACCGTCCACCAAACGGAGTGGTGGTCCAACCACTTTTCATCGCACCCTCTCCCCCACTGGCTCCTCAGCCACTCCCCTTCCCCGGTTCATCCGCTGCAGCCATTCCTCCATCCGGGTCAAGTGGGTGGCCCGTGACGCATCCTCCACGTCACCAGTCACCATCGCCATGGATGCCTCTTCCGGGCACAGGCGTTTTCCTCCCACCCGGATCAAGTATTAACCCTTTGGCTTCCCATGGTCCGGACTGCAACGACTCTTTGGAAAAATCCGGCAACAGCAAGGGTAACAGCATAAACAACTCATCAGAAGGTAAAGTAGATAAGAAGGAGAAAGTAACGTGTAATGGCATGGGAAATGAAAATGGTGACGACAGGCAAAGCAGTTAATGGAGAAGAAAGGAAGAGACAAACTCAGGAATTTCCCAATCAAAGTCAAAACTTGGGCATTTTCCATCAGTGTCTGGGATTTGTTTAGAGGGACAGAGGGGAAGAGAAGCTACATTTCTGCCTTTCTGCAATTTAGTTTACCCTTAATTTATTTTGTTTCCATATTAACATCAAATCTTTATGAAATCATATATATACATAGGGTCCAAACACCCAATGTGAAAAGTATTATGAAACCGTCCAAAATAGCCGCAATCTATTTAGTGTAATGTTTTGTTCATGCGGATATATGCATCTATTGGTAAGTAAGAATTTCAGATCCGTAAGATGGGTTTTTGTTGCAAGAGAGACGAACAAAATTGGGTTTGTTGACAGAGATGTAAACTAAATGGGCCATCAAACCCACACAAAAATATTATTTGGGCCTACCAACCCTTAATGGGCCGACGCTCATAAAAGGAGGGTATAATGGGAAGAAATGTGAAAAAAAAGCTATTAGAATTGCTTCGCGGTGCCGTTCGGAGTTCAGAACTCAACGGTAACTAAATCGAAGAGAACGTCGACGGAGATGGCCTCTTTGCGTCGGACATTGGTCGAGTTCCTGATCCGATCTGCTAGCGTAAGTTCTTTTTCTTTCAGAAGAGTTTCTGATTGTTTTTTCCATTTCCTCCCATGATTCTTGTATATTTTTCCTCTGGTTTTGCTGATGAAAGCATCTCGAAGTTCCTCCGATCGTCAAGTACTCAGCGTTTGCGCTCTTTTTCGATCGATTCCGTCCTTCTTTGACCAGGTATCGTGTGAATTCCTCCTCGCGACTTCCATGAACGACATTTGGTTCTATAGATCATTGTCGCATAGCAAAGAACTCACGAGTTTCTCGATGTTCTAACTTTTAGGTTTCGTGTAAATTCGGCCAATGATCTACGTTTAATTCCTTTCAATTTTTATATTCTTGCGTTAGAATTTGTGCTATTTCGTGATTGAGTTTTGAGAATTGTAAATTGGTGTTTGCTTTTAAGGGATTTACGGACTTCAAATGTAAATAGGGTTTTGGCAGACTTATTTATAGAAATATCTTTGATGGAACCCTTTATCTAGATCTAAGAGTCCCCCCTTTTTTCTGTCTATAGAGCATAACATCTCCAAGTCCCAGGTTTAGGCTCATGCTGTATGATCACTGGACTACTAGGCATCTCCCATATTTGTGATTCTTATTGAATCGCTGAGGAAAGTTGGCCCTTGTGTTCGTATTTTCGTAGGTTCTTGCAGATAAAGAAAGCTAAACACTGGCTTTTGCAACCTTTGACAGAAAGCAATCTGCAACTATTTGTACTAATCGCCATATGGGTCTCAAGCAAAGTGGGTGAACTTTCTCCTTCTGCTGGCGTTGCTTTTGTTGTTTTCTGTCAGTGATACATGCCTAGTCTGATGTGTTGCTTTTGCAGATGCATGATTCCCGAGCTTCAGCACTTCAAAGTTTTAAAAACTTGAGCAATAAGCTGATTACAGAACAACACTTCACGGTTCAGGATTTCTTGGAGGCAGTAAGCTTACTATTTTAGGATTGAAATCTGTTAGATGCTATATTTTTTCTCAATGAATGATAAGATTCTTCTCCAGGAACTGGTTTTCCTACAGGTAACTCTCTTAAACTTGGATGTTTTTGTAACCAGGGAAGTGTGTTTGAACTTATTATGCTTTTCTCCCCCACTGTGCATGACATGCAGGTTTTGAAATTTGAAATCGGCACTTCAAACATATCCTATGTAATACTTGAAGACCTTTATATTCAGTTCAAGTGAGTTGCTCCCTATGTATCAAGTATCAGGCCTCTTACAGATGCTACTTGAAAGTGAAATAGAAGGATGATGGACCAGTCTATTCCATATATCCATTATCTAATCCCAAAACGGATTTTGTTTTTCTTATTATAGAGAAGTTGCAAAGGTTGGTGAACTTTTGAACTTTGAAGCATGCATGGATATGATGGATCTTCTATACGAAAAGGAAGAGGCATCCATTCTCTTTGGTTCTTCCGCATCTTTGGCTGCTTCCATATTGGTAACTTTCCATCTCTGTTGCCCTCTGTTTATTCCATGTCAATAAATCATGAATACTTCTGCACGTCGGCATTAAATTGGTCTTGCCTTTTAAACCAGGTATGTTCTTACATCATAACCGTGCCGAAACAGAGGTGGGAGTTTCCTCTTCTCCCTTGGGGTAAGCTTTCATCTCCGTTCTACTTTCATTTAATGGTGTCTACGTTTGCAAGTTTTTGCTTCCTATGGTTTGCTCTCCTTCCATTAGAGAAAGCACAATTTAGAGTAACCATAGACAATTAGGCAGTTCTCGTGTCATGCCCACTGGTGTTCTTTAAATTCAGTAGGCTTCAAGCAAGAACCTTAACTAGCTCCCTCTCTCATGCGGCTTATAGCAACCACATGACCAGTACGGTCCATGCCTCTTTTTTTTTCTTTTGTATTTCAACATTATAGGACACAATCCTGATCCCCAATTTAAGTCCTGTTGGGATTGCTGTCTCCTGCTCAACTAACATCATCAGCTTTGTTAGAAAACAGCCTCCAAGGTTGATTTTATGAACGCCGGCCATATCGAACAACCGAATCTGTGGTCCTCGGGCAGGTTTCTAATTAACTCCGTTCTGTCACACAATATAGAGTTGTTGCCCCGCTCTTGTCACTTGCCCACATCAGGCCTTTTCCTTTCCTCTTGCGGTTTTTTCTTACTTTCCTCCTTCATTTCTCCCTTTCTCGGAATTCTTAGCTGTATCCACATATTTTTCTTTGTCATAGGGTCCCTCACCAAATACATTCTCTTTTCTCCTAACCGTTTTACACGTCTAAGGCTGAGAATTTTTCCATTTCACTATACTTGAAAGTTATTCTTTGGCATAGTTAGGGTCCATTCCGTAAAATATTGGTTGGGGAAGGTAGGTACTGCTTTGTTGTGTAGGAAACCACACTTGTGACAGAGAGGTTTGTAGATTTCCGTAATCAAGGTAGGGTCAGAGATAGAGAACAGAGTCAAAAAACTTCACAATCAAAACGGTAACAATTAATACAAAGGCTTTGATTCGACCTACCAATTTCCCCAATTCTGGTTAACTTTTTTTGCTTTTCAAGGAAGGTTGATTTTTTTTCCTACACTACAATCACCCTTACTGTACCGTGAGGTTTGGTCAGTACCTCTGTGCCAGACTTGTATGTTTTTTGTTTTTCTTGTATGCTTTAGTGGTTTGGTCCTCTCTGTTCTCACACGCACCCAACTTCCCTCTGTACCTCTCAAAGCTTGTCTACCAAAATTTTTAGGGTGCTTTATTAGGCATTATATAAAAAATACCCGTACTTTGCTATTTTTATTTCAACACCTATCATTCTTCACCTGTGATCATGTGACCCAAAATATAGTGTGGTCACATTTTGATATTATTGATTATAACGTTAAATTTATGATGATCACACTAATTCATTATGTTCATACCTTGTATATCTTACTAATCATTTGATTAAAACATCATAAATTTAACGTTATAAACAATGAGATTAATATGTGACCACACTATATTTCGGATCACATGGTCACAGTTGAGAAATGGTATGTGTTGAAATCAAAATAACAGCAACAACAACAACATGGCTTCATTCCCAAGTTCATTTGGAGTTGGTCGCATGAATCCTTTTCTCCACTCATTTCGATAATGCTCGCTTTATTATTTGAAATGATCTGTTTCCATTTTTTCTTTGTAAATAAGTTGGCCCCAGGAAACATATACATTTTCTTTAGTTTATCTGATGTTAGATGTTTCTTAGAAATTGTGGACTAACCTGAATGAAAATCCGGTTTAGAAAACCCGCTTTTTATAATACTCAAAAGACCCATCGGACCCCACCCATCTCATATATTGTAAAATCGTCCATTGTCTCGTTTGAACTTCCTTGATCAAATTTGATAAAGATTTGTTATTAATTATTCTGTACAGTTAAATTTGTGACGTCATGCAATGAAGGCGAACTCGTGGTGCTTGTCAGGCACGTTCTTAATCATGTCCTAGGAACGTAATCCTCCAAAGGCTTTCCAATTATCAATCTTCAAATGGTTACGGGTAAGCATATACTTATCTCCCCTTTTTTGTTTTCAATACAGTAACTGAGTAACGTCTTGGTCAATCATGCTTTCTAACATTGACACACACTAGTACGATAGAGTTTTAGAAAAATACTACGGAACAATTACATCTTTGGTCTACTGGTATCGATGTTTAGGTTTAAACGAATGATATTTTATCCTAGTCACTTGTTTTTAAATGTCATATTAGTGTTTAAGTCTAAATGCTACATTCAGTCATCACTTAAATGTGTTATATGTTATAAATTAGAAAAGATTATGAATGATTAGCATCGACCTTACACGTCTTTAGAAGAGGATAGAATAGAACTAATAGTGTCGGCTTAATAATAATTCATTATCCGCTTGCCCCCCAACTTTTGGTATATGTCCATTTGTTTCTACGAGTCTTTCTCGCCCAACTCCCTTTCTTCTTTTTTTTTTAATGGGACCTTTTTCTTCCTCCCTTTTGTGTTTTTTAATTATTCTCCTTGAGAGCAGTGATTTAATGAAATTAGCTGCTTAGGAACAATATCCTTTTACAATAATAACTTCGGTTAAATTTCCATGGGAAATATAATACAACAACTTTTTTTTTCTACGTGGGAACTTGTAATAAGGACATCATTAGTAGCGGTGGGCACAGATCGGATATCTGAGATTTTTGAGATATCTGTATCCGTATCCGATCCGCACAAATATTCGATTTTGTTATCCGTATCCGATTCGTAATTTTCGGATATCCGCAATTTCGGATATTTGTAAAAATTACGGATATTTGCGGATATCCATATCCGACCTAAAATATTATAAAAGTTTAAATTTAAATTAAATAACAAATTCAAACACAAATAAAATATATATCTATTTAAGATAAATGATATTCTTATATTTAAAATTCATAATTTAAACATTCCAAATCAATTCAAATGCAAATACAATTATAATCTATCACATACAAATATATTCAAAATTCAAAATTCAAAACACTAAACATAATAAATCTTAATATTCAAATTATAATCCTCAATATATATAAAATTTATCTTGAGTCACCCTAAAAAAACGTGTAAATATTAAGTATTTTAAATTTCTATACCAAATTATTCTTATATTTAATAATATTATTACAAAGTACGGATCGAATCGAATATGTCGGATAATTCAATTTTAATATCCGTATCCGACAAATATCTCCAAATAAATATCCATATCCGATCCCTAAACTCTGGATATCCGAATTTTCGGTTCGGATACGAATTGAATAGCGGATCGGTTTTTCGGATATTTTGACCACCCCTGATCATTAGTTTGCATCTATGTTAGATCGTATTTTATTTGCTTAATCTTCTAGATAAAAAAAAGATTAATATAGTGGCTTATGATTGGATAGTTGATTAGGTGTTGGGTAGAGCAATAATGATAGGTTTTGGATAGAATCCTAACAACATTGTTTGTTAAAGGCATTTTTACCTTATTGAATAATTAGTGGAGAAAACCGAATGGGGACCGCACCTTCCCGACCAAATCGGTATCTTTGTTGTTACAAAAGGATACTCAATATAAAGAGCCTTCGTTATCTTTAATGCAAATGAATACATCAAAAAGTAATAAAAAAAAGAGGTTTGTGTAATTATTGCATATATACCATAATAATGATACGAAACATTTATTTGACATTTATGATATAGTTTTTTTTGCCCAGAACAGACATACTTTAATGATTAGAAATAGACTACAATTGATTTTTATGGATTGTGATTAACTTTTTCTTTGTATGATTGGATTGGAATGAATGGTGAGTACTGTTATTTTTGGGTTGGTAGTTGCGGTGATGTAAATGTGAATTGAGTTGTTTGATACTGCTGTATTTTGCGTAGAAGTATATAAAATACATCATCCATAAACGTGATTACGTTATACTAATACTATGTCGAATATTAGTTAAATTTATTTTATTAGTCCATGGGGTTGACATATGTATCAACGACCGTTTGAATCCCAGAGAGACATAATAGATAGTAACGGTACTGATCATGCATATATATACACACACACACACACAAACATATACATATATATACGCAAGATGTCTGCATGCATGGATGGATACGCTAGTAATTTGTCAAAACATCTTTGTTGCAACACTACGCATATGTTGACAGATGGCTGTCGTAATACTGATTATGGGCTAAGTGTGCCTACGTATTTCCAGGTGACGTGTACGGAATGACGGAATGCTGGTAAGCATAGTCTCAGTGAAGGCACAGGAAAGATCAATCCAATTTTTTTTTTTTGAATAATCCTCGTAATGACTGTGGTACTTTCGCCATTTAACGTATTTTGGTGCAAAAAAAGAATAAAATAAAAATAATATGAGTTACATAATAGCTGTGTAAATAATAAAAGAAAGGTCACTATTGTTATTTATTATCTCTGTTCCTCGATGTTCTTCCTCTCTGTTCGTCCCCTTTTCAGCTTCAGCCTTTTTCCCTGTTCTCAATCTGCAATTACTGTTCCTTTTCTTTTTCCTCGATTTTTCCTGCTACCTTGTTTGCTTTCCTCGCTTTACTCATCGGTTTTTTTCCCTTCTTGTAAGTAATGAGTGTGTTATATGTTTGTTTCTTATGGAAGCTTAATGAGGCTTTTTTTTCTATGAGCAATAGTGGTCTTTTTTTGGTTCATTGACTTTTCTATTTAAGCACCCATTGTCGTGAACACCGTTTCTCAAGTAGCGTGAACGAAGAATTGCGTCATTGCGTCTGGGTTTCGTCTGCTCAAGATTTTGATTTGGGGAAAATCTACTGAATAAAATGCTGGAGATTGGAAGCCCTGTGGCCATTAGTTTCCGCACGAACACTACTTGTAATGCTCTTCTCGGAGAGCTTCAGGTTTGTCCATCATCTCTTCACTCTTTCACACACCCTTTGTCGCCTTCTCTCATTTTCTTGTTCTGTGCTTTGATTGCTTTCTTGAATTTAGGGTTTTTTTGTTGATGGGTTATGATAAAAATCTCAGCTTTTTACTTCTAGGTTTTGTTGAAGAAGAAAAGGTTGCGTCTTTCAGGCATGACGAGTTTAACAGAGCTAATGACTTTCGGTTTTTTCCCTTTCTCTCCTTTTTTAAGTCAAAGGGTTCCTGTGAACGTTGATTGTTGAATTCTGTTTAACTTGGCTTCGGTTTGCTCTCTTTTTCCATTCTCTAAGTCAAAGACCGTTGTCTAGTAATATCTTTTTCTTTTCTTTTCCTTCAGAGTTCCTGTGCTCAAAATTTGTGATGTTTTGGTTATTTCACGCGTTTATGGTTTTTGCGCATATGGAGCAGCAAATATGGGTAGACATTGGTGAGTCTGAGGCCGAAAAAGACAGGATGCTGATGGAAATGGAGAGGGAATGCGTCCAAATTTACCGAAGAAAAGTTGAAGAGGCCACAAATGCTAAGGCACGGCTTCATCAGTCTGTTGCAGCAATGGAAGCTGAAGTTGCTGCTCTCATGGTTGCCCTTGGTGTGTTAAATTTCCAGTCACCGGTATGAGTTATGTTCATGTTCTCACGACTTCAGGTTTCATGATGGACTTGTGTTTTTGCCATATGCCACAATTGGGAATTCTAGCGCTCCCTGTATGTTCTTGAAGCTATATTCTTGAAGATAGTGCGTTAGTTTCCTATATATAAAAGCTGGGGAAATACACTTTACCACTCCGGTTTGAGCTATATACATGTTTTTGTTATTAGATTTCATGAGAGATTGTTGTTTACTCAGTTGGGCCAAGTGAAACTTTACTGTTCCATTATTAGCATGTGGGCATCCAGCTTTTGATGTTACATTGCGAGTGCTGGGGAAAGCTATGATTTTCTTTGCGAAGATTTTGTAAGGAAAAGGGTATATGCTATGGGTGTCTCATGTACAGATAAGAGTGGACAAGGGCTCAAAATCATTGAAAGAAAAGCTTGCTGCTGTGACACCTCTAGTGGAGAACTTGAGATTGCAAAAAGAGGAAAGGATGAAGCAATTTTCTGATATAAAGTTGCAAATCGAGAAAATAAATGGGGAAATATCGGGATACAGTGACCAGCTCAACAAGGCCATGATTGGTTCCTTGACTCTCGAAGAGCAAGATTTGTCTCTGAGGAAACTTAATGAGTATCAAACACATCTTCGCAAGCTGCAGAAGGAAAAGGTGAGGATGTTTTCCCGAAGCTATGTAAAACGATTTGAGGTGTCGATTAAGATTGTTATGGCAGTTGATTAGCCTATGAATGACAATTTTCGTACTCCTTTGTTATTTTTTGGTGCAGTCTGATCGTTTGAACAAGGTTTTGGATTATATGAATGAGGTTCACACTCTACATGGTGTTCTTGGAACTGACTTTGGTCAAACTGTTAGTAAGGTTCACCCAAGTTTACATTGGACGAACGAGCAATCTACAAACATTAGTGATAATACATTGAGTGGCCTAGAACACACGATTCAAAAGTTAAAGACTGAAAGGAGATCCCGATTTCAGAAGGTATCTGTATATGTACTTGTTTAGTGTGTTTACAAGGTTTTCTTCTATATATATACACACACGTATGTGTTGATAGGCCTGTTGTTGTCACCATGTTACATTGTGCAGCTGAAAGATATAGTAACGGCGCTTTTTGAGCTATGGAATCTGATGGACACACCACAGGAAGAGAGGATTCAATTTGCCAATGTCACATCTGTTGTAAGATCATCTGAATCTGGTATCAGCGGGCCAGGCATCCTTTCAACCAAGATGATTGAACAGGTTTAGAAGAATGCCTTCGCTCTCTTTCGTTTCTCGTTAACTAGGATGATCACATCTGAGATTCGAGTTCTGTTTGCTTTTATATTAGGTGACTGCAGAAGTAGGCCGTCTCAGTAAGCTGAAAGCTAGCAGAATGAAGGAGCTTGTGATGAAAAGAAGGTCAGAGTTAGAGGATCTCTGCAGAATAGCTCACATTGAGCCGGACACGAGCACTTCGGTTGAGAAAACTTCTGCCTTGATAGATTCTGGTATTAAGGATGGAGATTGTATGTTCCTTGGAAATATTTGCTTGTCAGAGTTTTCTGTTAAGCTGGTCTTCTCTACGTTCCTTCAGGATTGGTGGAGCCTTCAGAGCTATTGGCTAATATCGAAGTACAGATTAACAAAATCATGGAAGAAGCTCGCAGTCGGAAAGAAATAATGGATAGGATTGATCGCTGGCTCTCTGCATGCGAAGAAGAAAACTGGCTGGAAGAATATAATCAAGTATGAAAAGCTTGAAACTTTTAAGCGAAATACCAGTAAAAAGAAATGGGTCTTTCGAGGAATGTATATAAAATTCCTATCTTTAATTTCAGGATGAGAACCGGTACTCAACTGGAAGAGGTTCTCACATAAACCTCAAGCGTGCAGAAAGAACCCGGGTTACAGTGAGCAAAATACCCGGTACTTTGTCCATCTCTATATAAGAATCTTCTGGTCGATTTAGATGAAAATCTTGTTTTACCATTTGTCGCTTGCCTCCGTGGTTTTCACAGCAATGGTCAACAATCTCATTAAGAGGACGCTTGTCTGGGAAGAAGAAAACCAGAAGTTATTTCTGTATGACGGTGTAAGTTAAAAAGCTTTGTTTGAAGTACACATTCTCGACCAAAGTCCTCTCTGTTGATTCTTGTGACTGTTTTCTCCAGGTTCGGTTGGTCTCTATACTGGAAGACTACAAATTGACCAGGAAACAACGTGAAGAGGAAAAGAAACGATACCGGGTCTGTAAAAAAATGTGCACTTAACTCTAAATATTTCAAGATCACTCGCATTTTAAACGAGTTTCTCCATCTCTCTACAGGATAGGAAGAAGATTCAGGACCTTCTGCTAACCCAGAGAGAATCCATTTACGGGGCAAAACCGAGTCCAAGAAGGAGCAACAGCTTCAGAAAAGCCAACGGGTACAGCATCAGAACCGGGAATGGAACAATGACTCCGACACCACGTAAATCCTCAGTCGGGGCCACCACTCCTCCTGACCTTCTGACCCCAAGATCCTACTCAGGTCATTACCAGAATCGATATTTCAAGGAAGTGAGGAGGCTGTCTACAGTTCCAATAAACTTTGTGGCAATACAAAAGGACGATACAGTCTCTACATACACCTCTGTCTGCGGTTCTGAGCCAGACTCCCCTCCGCAGGGCTGACGGTGAATATCATTAAGAACCCTCCCTCTCAAGTCTGTGTTTTTTGCTCCAATGGCGTCTAACCCATCAATGTTTCTGGACAAACCAGCAAATCTTTAGCAGCTTTTAACGAGATTTTCGGGCTCATCAATGCATTTTTGCTACGCGTAATACTTACACGACACTGGTTGAACTTTGGCTTTGATTTGATGCAGGATTTGGGGCTTGCATCTGGATCCAGTTGAGGAAACTACTGAACTTAGATTGAACTTGGACGTGTAAGGGTTAGTGTGAATACGAACAGGTGGGGTTTTGTACACTATTAGAGTGTGTGTGTGTGTGTGTGTGTGTGTGAGAGAGAGAGAGAGAGAGAGAGAGAGAGAGAGTGTTTTCTAGTTTGTCTTAGGTACAAAACCTGGTCACTGACCTGTTGTTTTTTTAGGAGGGAGAGGAGTATAAAATAAATGTTGTTTTTGTTTGAGACTGCTTGCTGAGATCTTGTCCGAACCTTTTTTTTTTTTGTTCTTTTGTTTGTCCTTTTCCCTTTTTTTTAATTTTCTCTGCATCTCTTTCTGTGATGTCACTGTGTAGATATAGATTGGTTTGAGCTGTTGAAATTAAGTGGATTTGGTTTGGTTTGGTTTAAGGATTCGTACAGAATTGCTTGGAAATTTCCAAAAAACAAAACAAAAACTCTAATTGAACGTAGCAATGCCCATAAATAAGAAAAAAAATTAATTATCTATTAGGAGTTACTGTTCACAATGATTAAGAACAATGCCAGAAAAAATAGTCCAAAAAATGGATTTGGTTTTCTATTTAAATTACATTTGGTGTTTGTGTTTAATTGAAGATCTTCCTGTAACTTATGCTCAATTTAATATATATATATATATATATATATATGCCACTGTTCATGACTTTTGGCAACCGTTGAATGACTAATCAAATTCGATAATATTTCATCTCTTTAAAATATGTTATGGAAAATGTTCCTTTTACATAAATATATAAGAGAAAAATAAGACGGATTGATGAGTATAAAGAAGGAAAAAAGGGGAAAAAATTGATCATAGCGCGAACAATAAATACGCGCACATATAGCGCGTGAGCATCACCGCCCCAAAATCCCTGGGTTATAACCCACCGAATTGAGCTAATTCCACAAAATGGAAAACAAAGGCGCGTGAGGGGACGAGAACGAGCATTAGTCCGCGTTTTCGGCTCTTTTTGGGCCTTGAAAAATAATGTGTCGGCCCATAATCCTTTGTTTTCGATTTATTGCATTGTATTAAGTTAGTGTCCATTTTGGGATACATTTTTCCCTCTTTTCATATTCCATTATTTTGTTTCTTGTTTCTCTTTTATATATATATTCTTATAATATAATCGTATTTAATTAAAAAATTGATATATACATATATATGTATATATATGAAATCACGATATAAGCAGTGTCAAGAACTTGTGATTTTTGACAGCCGTAATAAAACAAATTCAGTAATATATCTCATCTCTTTAAAACCTAAGGGACACAAACCAAGAAAAGAAGAGTGTCATTTCACCAAAAAATAAAAACATACAATTAAAAAGAACATCTGTTACATTGTCAGTGATTCATATAAAAAAAAAAACAGAGGAAGAACTCAATGGTCAGACACAGAGAGCATTCGAGCTACTGATGAATTTATAAAAAGAAAGAAATCAAATTCCCTTCAGATGTTTCCCCTCAACCTTCACCTCAAAACAAAACCCAACAAACAACAGAGACTGAGACAGAAAAACCAAACAGACGTTTAAAAAAGAGTTCAGATGAAACCCTAAACCCGACAAAGTTACCTGAAAATGATCTGAGATTCTCAGTTGTTGATGGGAGGAGGAAACGGTCACAGATGTATATATACACACAGATCTCAATATCAATCAGGGGCCTCAAGTATTTTTTTTTTTTTTTGGTTCCACCGTTCATTCTCCTACCGATCTATCTGATGGTGACGAACTTGTTGGTACCATGTCTCGCCCAATGGCTCTTCAGGTCGATCGGGCTCGAAAAGTTGAAGCCTTCAGCCGCAAGTTTCTCGAGAACTTTCTTGAAAGCACCTTGGCTCATCTTCCGACCCGAAATCCTCGCCCCCCGCCTCTTTGTACTCATCGGCAGAGGGTACATCGATATGTTGGTAGTGCAACAGGCCGACTGCCATCCACCGCATCCCCAACGGTAACATTGCTGAGGGGTTCCAGTACAGGTGCATACCGGAACAGGCAGACTCGAAATGTCCATACTCACTCCATTGATGACCACATCAAAGCTTTTCTTAGCCGGTTTCACCCGTTGAATATGCTCGTTTCCATCGTTGTCCTTTGGTTTCCGAGGCTTCTTTGGCTTTGAATGGCCTTTCGGATTTGAACCACTCCCAGCAGGTTTTCTCTTCTTGGTCTGGGGGATTTCCTCTTGGCCGGGAACCGGGTCTTCCTCCACCCGGGACGAGCTAACGGGTGGGTGAAGAATCTGCATAGACGGGGCTCCAGAAGTTTCGGGTAAGACATTGCTGTAACTGGGAGGGTTAACAGGCAACATATTGAAGAACTTATCCTTCTGCTGGTTGATCCATCCATAATTCATAGGGATTGGAGTTTCGGACACAACGCAATCTCTCGGGTGATACGACCCATTTGGCCCGATCATCAGGTTCGGGTCACGACCCGGTAAGAACGGCTTGGTGTTCCTTTCAATGCTCGACATTAGCTGCAGACCAAGATGCCCTTTGAAATTCGCCGGTTCATAGTAGCCCCAATTGCGAAACCCATCGTCATCCATGAGAAGAACTACAATGCCATTAACACAGAAATTTAGAAACAATCACATCGGAAGAATTACTCTTTCCTGCTTAATGTATTGAAATGGATGAACCGCCTTAGATCGAGGCAAAATTTCGATATGAATATGTGAAATGCGAAACGATGATACAGATCCATTGAAAGACAAGCAGAGATCCGACCACACACCGCGAAACTAAAACCTTGAAACCTAACCGAATGCAACAAAGAGTTCCCCAAATCTCTGTCTGGGATGCCGAGAAAATCCGATTTGGAACCTCGGACTCGTCGATTTTCCCGTGAAATTCTCGAGATCTATCATCGGAAAAGCAAAACCATTCCATTTCCCAGATCCAGGTGCGCGGAAAGGCCTCAGATTCAAAGGAAAACACAAATATTGGAGACACCCAGAAACAAGAATTAAGAGTCTTCATCAGATCGAAACATGAAATTTCACGAATTACGAAAAATTTCAAACGTTCTCCGCATTTCCAGCCGAAACCAACATGCAGATCCATAAGGGTCTCAAGGTCTGCCTAACCCAGAAGCAGATCTACGGGAACACGGCATAAAGCGACGATCTTTGCAAACAAACCCTCATAAATTTCAAATCTTCTAGAATATCTAACTAGATATTTATAAAAAAAAAAATGTTTCAAGAGAATGGAAATGGAAAAGCGGTAGAGTACAAGGACCCATTGTACTTCAAAATTAAGAGAGAGAGAAGGGGGGAGAGAGAGAGAGAGAGAGAGAGAAAGAGGAGGGCATGGATGGATAGATACATAGATTGGGGAGAGAGAAAACTTACATGGGTTTGGTCTGAACGGCTCTTTGAGGGATTTTTTTTGCCTTCTGGGGAGAGAGAGGGGGAAGAGAGAGGAGAGAGAAACCTGAGAGAGATTGAGATAGAGAAAGATAGAAGAGAGAGGAGAGAGAAAATAAACCTAAGAGAGTGGATTTGAGGATGAGAGAGGAGAGAGAAGGAAAAGACCATCCAAAATTTGCGTCTTGTTGGAGAGGAGAGATACCCTAAAAAAAATGAACCACTTTTTTATTTTGTTAAAATTACATAAAACTCTTTAAAAAAATCCAAAAGGCTTTTTTTTCCACTTAGGAGTAAATGTATTTGGTTTTTTAGGGCACCAAAGATTAGGGCAGGCAAGGCAACCATGTGAGAAGAGAGACAGACCAAAAGCCCATTTCCTACAATAATATATATCTTTTTTTAAAGTAATATTTATCTTTCTATGCATTATTTAATTCAAAATCATATATTATACATACCGACCAAAAACTTCATAAATCTTGCAAACTGTTAGATTTAGGACAAATAATTCCGTACGATTAAAGAAAATGAATCATATAAATGTACATCACGATAAACTTGAATGGAAAAGACTCGGAGCAACCATTAGATTGAATTTATATGTTCCAAATTTTAAATATACAGATGGAAGCCCGATTTTTATTTAATTTCAACATTTGAACCCTTCTTTTGTAATTCAGGAACGAGTAATTTTTTTTCCCTCAAATAGGCGCTTCTTTCTCAATTCAGAAAATGCAATTTGCGAGTTAAAAAATGCAAAGATATGGACCGTATGGAAAATAGGTTCAAATGCCAAATAATTTGTATTTGTGACACAAAATCTAGCAACATATTTTCCAATCCAAACTCATTAACATTGAATCGTAGCTTCCAAATCTGACATATTTTCAATAATGTAAATGTACAAATTTTTTATATGTTTTCTTTGGTACGTGAATATATGACTTGGAAAAAGCCCAATAAGTGGATTGCTTAGACCCAACTATTATTATATAATACAAAAGGCCTTTAAGCCCAATTATATTTTCATATTGTATTTAAAGGCCCTATAAGGCTATAACCATATTTCTTTTATATTTCTTTTTCTGTATTAAGTTTTCTATTTTTTGTCGGCCTCTTTTTAAAAATATGATTTTTTTTTGGTAAACCCATGTCGCATTTTCTCTTAATACATCAATCATATGAGTATTCTCTAATCTCTACATAAATCTATTATGAGGGGGATCACCACAAGATAATTCATCATATAAATAAAGTTACAACAAGAGAAACAAAACATATATAAATGTCTAAGCTATTTGTAATCACCGGTTACTATCATATTGAAGACTAATGAACTAATGAAAATAAAACGCTGATATGTTCCCAAATCTCTTGATCCTTATCCATTGATGAAGACGATTGAACTCATGAAAAAAAAATAAAGTAAAATATGTTCTTATTATATTGTTCTTTTCAGGCATATTATATAGTAGGCATCGGTTTTTTTTTTTTTAAGATCATATATAAAAAGGGAAAAAAGTTAAGGGGGAACCAAAGGCACAATTGGGAGAGATGATGATATTTTTTTTTTTATTTGTTAACTTAAGAGCATGTGACTCCCCATCCTCCTCTCCCTCTTTCCAACTCAAACTCCTTTATAAAAAGATACAGCTCTAGATTTCAATCCAATATATGATCCATATATATCATATATATATAGACATATATATATATATATATATATGTATGCATGTATGTATGTATGTATGTATATGTACATGATGAGATATGGAGAATCAAGTAGTTAAGGGGAGAATCACATCTTAAGAAATGATTACGAACATATGGGAAGGTGAAAGCAACAAATCAGACTTCGGCCTCATACTATTCTTCTTTTTTTTTTTAATTTTCCTTGTCAAAAAAGCTGCCTACGCGAATACGATCTATTCATCTTTGGTTCATATATCTTTCATCCTTTGCTTTCGGTCCCTTTGAACAAATTTAGAAAAACGACCAAACATTACAAGTACCCTTTGTATTAACAGTACCCATATCGACAATGATAACGATGGCAATATATAGCGTCGATATTATTCCATCCAAATTTTTTTTTTTTTAAAAAAAAGCAGTATGTTCACTATTAGATAAAGTTTTTTTCATATGGATAGAAGGAAATAAATGTATGAAATTCAACAATTATAAAAAGATATACTAAATTAATGCTGTGCGAAAACTACTTGTTTTATATAAATCATTGAATAAAATAATGAAATATGTAATCAACGCAACAATTAAAGTTGATTGGGACACAATCCGAAAGGTTTGTAAAAGACTATAAGTTGGTCTATATATTGGACGAGATTCACATATTATTAAAATATAAAATATATAACAAATTTGATAACACATTATTATATTATTTATAGCATATATATGATGCAAATTTATCTTATCAAAACATAAAGTTGTATATATTAATTATCGTATGCCGACATTATGTTTATTTTATTTCCTTCATATCCGTAGGCGAAAACTATATATCTATATGCCAACCCTTTTTGCCATTTTTAGATTGGGAACTGAAACCTTCCCGGGCAACGAGAAGGGGGGAAAGAG